GCATCTTAGCTGTAGAGGGCAGTGTCACTGGCCCTCATATGTGGGATCCGAACCAGGGCCCTCTGGCGTCCCAAGCCAGTTCTTAACCAATGCGCCACTCGGCCGGCCCCTTACAATATTTTAATGTTTACATTTTTTACATTTAAATTCTGATCTTCATGGAGTTTATCCTGGTATATAGTATGAGATATGAATCTAATTTTACCTCTTACCAAATCCAGCATCATTTATTTAAAAGTTCATCTTTACCCATCTACTTTGAGATGTTACTCTTTTTACAGTCTAAATTCCCCTTTATGCTTGGATCTTTTTTTATCCCGTTCCATTAGTTAATCTGAATATGCATGAGCCAATTTCACACCACTTTAATTATTGAGCTTTTATTACGTGTAATAATTGGCAGGCCTACGTCCTCCCTAATTACTTTTCTCTTTAGAAATTTTCTGGCTATTCTTACTTATTTTTCCATATGAACTTCGAATTTAATTGTCTATTTTGAGGAGGGAAAAAATCTATTAGTACTTTTTCTTAGATTACCTTATATTTATAAATTAACATAGAACTGATATCTTTATGATTTTGAATCTTTTTATCGTTTCAAGTCTGTTTTTGTGTCCTTCAAGAGGGTTTTAAAGTTTTTCCTACGTAGGTTTTTATTATTTCATTTCACATCTATTCCTGGGTACAGTAAAACCTTGGATTGCAAGTAACTTGGTTTGCGAGTGTTCCGCAAGACAAGCAAACATTTCTAATACATTTTTAACTTGGTAAACGAGCAATGTCTTGCAATATGAGTAGTTTGTTTCCGGAACAAATTATGCTCGCACACCAAGGTATTGCTGTATTTTATCTCAGCAGAGATAATCATTGTAGTTAATAGTATAGTGTATATCTTTCTACACTTTCTCTCTACTTATATTGGGTTGTCGGAAAAGTCATGACGCATCTTTGCAACGAAAAACATAGAAAAAATACATCATGATTTTCCGACAGCCCAATATAAACTGTTTAATATGGTGGTTCTCAAAGTGTGATCTGCAGGGGTTTCTGGGACATTGTTAGCGATTTTGCAAGATCAAAACTATTTTCATAATAATAATATTATTTTCCTTTTTCAGTGAGTTGACACAAACGCAGTCATGGGTAAAACTGCTGACAACTTAGCACAAATTAAGGCAGTGTCTCCAAATGGGAATGGGAAATATGCAATAGCTGCAAATGATGGTTGTCTCAAGAAAAGTCACTTGTACAATTGAATTGTAAACTGATGTGGCCTTTTTAAAAATTGTGACAAAATTCATATAACAAAACTCACTATTTTGACCATTTAAAGTATACAGTTTAGTGTGGTTTAGTATACAGTCATGCACTGCATAAGGAAATTTCAGTCAAACACTAACTGGGTATGCAGCGGTGGTCCCATAAAATTATAATGGAGCTGAAAAATTCCTATCACCTAGTGACGACATAGCTTTTATAAGTCATAGCACAACCCTTTACTCACGTGTTTGTGGTGATGCTGATGTAAACAAACCTCTACTGCCAGTCATATAAAAGCCTAGCACATACAATTATGTATAGTATGTAATACTTGATAATAAATGACTATGTTACTGACTTCTGCATTTACTGTATTATATTCTTTATTTATTGTTATTTTAAAGTATACCCTCTCTATTTACACAAAATAAGCTGTAAAACATTATGCTGTGCCTCATCTTGTGTTTACCGCATCTCTTGATGGCATTATTTTCTCTTGTGCCTGATTTAATCTCGTTGTTTTATAAATGTAGTGTAGCCTAAGTGTACAGTGTTTATAAAATCTACAGTAGTGTACAGTCATGTCCTAGGCCTTCACATTCATTCCCCACTCACTCACTGACCCACCCAGAGCAACCTCCAGTCCTACAAGCTCCATTCATGGTAAGAGCTGTATACAGGTATGCCATTTTTAACTTTTTACCATATTTTTAGTGTATCTTTTCTATATTTAGATATGTTTAAGTATACAAATACTTGCCATTGTGTTACAATTGCCTATAGTATTCAGTACAGTAACATGCTGTACAGGCTTATAGCCTTGGAGCAAAAGGCTATGCCATCTAGCCTAGGTGTATAGTGGGCTGTACCATCTTGGTGTGTGTAAGTGCACTCTGTGATGTTCGCACAGTAACGAAATCACCTAACAACACATTTCATAGAACATCTCTGTCTTGTGCAGTACATGACTGTATTCACTACATTGGGCAGCTGTCACCACTGTGTAATTCCAGAACATTTTCATCATCCCCAAAAGAATAAGCAATCTCTCCCCATTCTCTTTCCCCCAGTCCTGAAAACCACTAATCTACTTCTTGTTTCTATGGATTTGTGTATTATGGACATTTCGTACTGATAAAAAATCATACCATATTGGCCTTTTGTGTCTATCTTCTTTCACTTAGCATAATGTTCTCAAGATTCATCCATGTTGTAGCATGTAAGGTACTTCACTCCTTTTTACAGCCAAATAATATTCCATTGTATAGATATACTACATTTTATTTATCCATTCCTCAGTTGATGGACCTCTGGGTTTTTCTGCTTTTTGGCTATTATGAATAATGCTACTATGAACATTTGTATACAAGTTTTTATGTCACCGTCTGCCACATTTTTCATAGAAATCACTTTTACTTTATTAACAAGCTGTACTTATTTAGACTTTGTATTTGGCTGACAGTTCTAGCTTCATTCTAAAAAAGAGTTGAATGATTTGGTTGAGTTTTGGAGATTTTACAAAAAGTTGAAGATGGAAGACCAAACTGTGCATTTTTGCCATATTTTACTGTTTTACTTCCATAAAGGGAAGAACATGTGTCAATCTTGTGAAAAGTTGCATAAAGTTTACTGTGACAGTGCTCTACAAGAATGTCAGTGCCAACGATGGTTCACGAAATTCCGTGCTGGTGATTTTGATCTCAGCGATGCTCCTCGGTCAGGGAGGCCCATCGAGGTTGATAATGACAAAATAAAGGCATTGATCGAGTCAAACCCATGTTACACGACCTGAGAGTTTGCAGAAACATTGAACATCCATCATTCAAGCGTTCATGACCACCAGAAGAAGCTGGGATACGTAAGCAAGCTCGATATTTGGGTTCCGCCTGAACTCAAAGTTCATTTGACGGCGCTTATAAACATCTGCAATATGCTCATTAAAAGTGAGGAAAATCATCCTTTTTTGAAGCTAGTGATAACTGGTGATGAGAAGTGGATTGTTTACAACAGTGTGGCGTGCAAACGGTCTTGGTCCTGACGTGATGATTCGCCTCAAACGACATCGAAAGCAGACATTCATCAGAGGAAGGTTATGCTCTCAGTGTGGTGGGATTTTAAAGGTAGTGTGTTTTTTGAGCTCCTACCAAGGAACCAAACAATAAATTTGAATGTGTGCTGTCGGCAATCGGACAGTTTGAACGAATCCATCATCCAGAAACGTCCAGAGCTTGTTAATTGTAAAGGAGTTGTGTTCCATCGTGACAACGTGAGACCACACATAAGTTTGATCACCAGTCAAAAATTGTTGGAGCATGGGCCGGCTGAGTGGTGTGTTGGTTAAGAGTTGGTTTGGGATGCCAGCTCTGAGCACCAGAGCCCCTTCTACAGCTAAGATGGTGAAACAACAGCTCAACCTGGAGCTGGGCTGCTGTGAGAGTCGCCGGCAACAGCATAGGCTGCAGCCCCTGCTGCAGTGGGCTGCGATAAGCTACCGTGAGTGGCTGGCAGCCGGTGTGAGCTGCCAAGAGCCGCCATGAGCGCCGTCCAGAGGCCGGTGACCTATCTGCCTCCCCCAGGAAGAGTGCAATGATAATACCAACATGGGCTAGTGAAGCGACGTCCTCCACAACTAGACTGAAGAATGAAAGGACAGCAACTTGTCTGTTCCCCTTCCCCAATTCCCCAACGCTGTTCCCCTCCCCCAACTCCTCAATAAAATGTTAAAAAAAATTATTGAAGCTTGATTGGAATGTGTTGCCACAGCCACCATACTCGCCTGACCTTGCACTGTCAGACTTACACTTGTTTCACTCTCTTCAAAACTCCTTGTGTGGTATAACATTCAATTCAGATGAGGCTGTAAATCCGCACCTTGTTCAGTTTTTTGCAAATAAAGACAGGTCCTTCTATGAATGAGGAATTATGAAGTTCACTGAACGATAGCAAAGGTTATCAAACAAAACGGGCAATATATCATTGATTGATTTTTGTTCTTTATACAAATAAATGACCTATGAAAAACATAGATAAAATACATCATGACTTTTCCGACAACCTAATGAGATAGGAGTCCTTTATTAAATACAAATATTTTCTCTGAGTCTGTGGCTTATCTTTTTATTTTCTTAATGGTACTTTGAAGTAAAAGTTGTACACTTTAATGAAGCCCAGAAAAATGGATTTTAATGTCACAGAGTATGAAGAGTTCATTGGTGTGGTTTTAGATTCTATATTTCAATTAACCTTTAAGTTACCATTTGTACAGTTTTTATGTAGTTTTATTATCTGTAAAGATACTTAAATTATTCTTCCATTTTTTTTTCTCAATTTCATATCTGTGTCAACCTGGGTTTTCTTCATATATTTTAAACTAATCTGCACCTGTCAACAGATTGAATGCAGAAGTGGATATGAGAACCCAGCTGTCTTTTATTAAGCCAGACATTAAAGACATCTACAAAAATTTAAAACAATACCTCTTTTGTCATTAGTTTTTTTGTTTTAAAGATATATTATTTTTCATAAAAATGTTATTTATATTATCATGTAATATGTTTACTGTTAATTTTACATAAATTGGATAAATACTTACATTTTTTTCAGTTTTAATTTCTAGTATAATAAAAACCAATAGGTATAACGCATATAAACAGAAGTTCTTTGAGGTCATCAATAATTTTCAAAAGTGTGAAAGATTTTTGCGGTTAAAATTAAAATTTGAGGACAGCTGTTTTAATTTGACACACTGATTTAGAGTCACATAAGACAGCTCTTAAGTTTGTGTGTGTGTGTGTGTGTGTGTGTGTGTGTGTGTGTGTACGCGCATGTTTTTAAGATTTTATTGGGGAATTGGGGAAGGGGAACAGACAAGTTGCTGTCCTTTTGTTCTTCAGTCTAGTTGTGGAGGACATTACTTCACTGGCCCATGTTGGTATTATCATTGCGCTCTTCCTGGGTGAGGCAGATTGGTCACCGGCCGCTGGACAGCCGCTCACAGTGCCTCATGGCAGCTCCCGCCAGGCTGCCGGCCACTCACATTAGCTTATGGCAGGCCACTTGCAGTTTCACTGCAGCCTATGCCATCGCCGGCGACTCACGGCAGCCCAGCTCCAGGTTGAGCTGTTGTTTTGACCATGTTAGCTGTAGAGGGCGCAGCGTCGCTGGTCCTAATGTGGGATCCGAACCGAGGCTCTGCTGCTCAGAGCTGGAGTCCCAAGCCAGCTCTTACCCAACGCGCCTCTCGGCTGGCCCACTCTTAAGTGTCTATAGTATTGCTTTCTGATTTTCATGGAAGTTGGTCTTGTTTCTCTACTGTATAGATTGTTAACTTTTTGAAAGAAGGAAACATGTAGTTTACTTTCATTTTATTTCTTAGATTATAACTTTCCTCCTGGAATAAGTCCTCAATAAAGACTTAACAAAGGGTTGAAGGACTTCCCACTGGCTGACCTTTAGGGCAGTATATACTGTGTTGGCTTTAACATAAATAGCTGTATGTTTTCATGCAGGTGGAAGAGCACAATGGTCACATCTTCAAGGCCACTCAGTACAGCATTCCTACATACTGCGAGTATTGTTCTTCTTTGATATGGATAATGGACCGAGCCTCTGTTTGCAAATGTAAGTGAAAGAGATCTTGGAGGAAATTTTTTTACCACTTGATATTTCTGTTTCCTAAGTTTTCTTCTGCCTTCTTTAACATAAAGGAGAAATTATTACTCCCTAATTCTTTAACCTCATCTCTCCCTGTTCCCCCCTTCACCTCTTCTCTGGTGCTAAACCAGATATTTTGGTCTTCTTTGGTCACTGTACTTGCAGCTAACTCTATCTGAAAACTCTTCTCCCAGATGTTAGTAGGACTTACTATTTCAGTTAATTCATGTCTCTACTCAAATATTACCTCTTAGAAAGTTCTTTCTTTACTCTCTTACCTAAAAGGCCACCCTGTCCCCCAACTCTCTGTCCCCTTACTCAGCTTTAAAAATCGTTATGGCGTTTATCACCCCCCGAAGTTATATTAAGTATTCATTTGTTTTCTGGTTTGTCAGTTTGTCCCACTAGAATGTATGCTGTATAAGGTCAGGAAACTTACCTGTCTCTTCTTTATCACTAGTGCCTAGAATGGTTCTGGCACATTGTAAATTTTAATAAAGACTTGTTGGGTGGATGGACCTATATATTGATGGATTAATTTTGAAACAGATTTTTAGATTACAATCAAAAAGGTACTTTTTTATACTGTAATACTTTCATCAGAATATATAAATCCTAGAATGTGAATAGAGACTTTTCATGGGTCAACTTGGTTCTGGCTTGTAGAGCACCTTTAGCTTCCATACCTGTCATTACACGCATCTACTGTGGTGCCTTCAGTAATTCTGTGAGGGTTTGTTTACGAGAGGACCAGAATTGAATGAATAAAATATCAGGAAGGACTGGGTCTAATATGGCAACAAGAATAAAAGACATGTTCCCCACTATTGCTGGATATGTTCACTTGTTCTATGGTTCAAAAATTGTTTTCCTTTTGTTTTATCAGTAGTTTTAAAAATTATAGTGAGTGAAATAGGAAATAGTTTGCCATGTACTTGACTGTTGAATTTTAGTCTTGATTCCTCTAGGTTTGGTATAATATTCTCTATGATTTGAGACTGAAAAATGTAAAGAATCTGCTTTTTTATGACTTGGGTGAGCTTTATTTGATTTCTTAGTAGAATTACTAACTTTCTTTGTGATTATATTGATTTCATTGGTCCTATGATATGGCCTCCTCTACTTGTCCTTGAAAACCCTGCAAGTATTATGCTATAGAAGGTCTAGGATACTGAGGTGTTGATATACAGGAACTAGAGCTTGTACAGCAAAATGGAATAGGCCAGGTGTGTTCTCAGTATCTTCCTCTCAGTGTGCCTCTTCCCAGCTGCCAACTGCCTAGACACCCTGTTATGTCCTGCTCCAAGAAGCTATTTCTGCTCTGAGCCTTTTCTTTATTCATCTTCCCAGTCACAACTGATATTCTTTACGTTTTAGTTCTTCAGAGCTCTATTTTGAACCTTTTAATATAATAAATAAGGCCTTTCTTATATCATAATGTGCTGCCCAATTTATTATTTTAGTAAGAGTCTTTGGCAGTAATGCCTTCCTTCCCATTGGAATGATTCCTAGTAGGTATTTCTGGCATTTTAGCAGGTTGTAGAGCAGATACATGAGGGGAACATAAACACTAATTTGCAAATCAAGCCACAAAGAGAAGTATTCTGCTGGAATATAGCAGGGACAGGGAGGAAGGACGAGCAGTCTTGAAAGAATAAAAAAAAATTTTAGACATGAGTTAGAAATTTTAGGCATGTTTTTAACTTCATATTTCCAAATAGAAAGGGTTAAATAAGTAAATTGAATTAAAAAAAGAATCGGTTAAGTTTTTTTTGTTCTAATACCATACAACATTATAGCAGTCAGCAGTCTCAGATTTAAAGGAAAAATTTATATCCAAAATAAACTTGTAAACTTAAGTTCTTGTCATTGATGTACAGACTTCTAAAAATTCTGCATTTTTAACCTGTTTTTCAGTATGCAAGTATGCTTGCCATAAGAAGTGCTGTATGAAAACCACAGCCAAGTGCTCTAAAAAGGTAAGAAGTTACTATCTATGAGGGATAATTAATTAACAGATCTGTTGGTCTTTTGTGCTTCATGAAAGAAATCTAGGCCTCTCATAGTTTTATAGAGCAGTGGTTTTCAAACTTTTAACCACAGATCACAGTAAGAAATACGTATTATGTCATGATCCACCATATACATATAGAGAGATGTGTATATATGACTGAATTGATTTTCCTGGAACTATATTTACTTTTATTAGATGGGAACTACTAAGCTGATTTACAACCAACAATTTATTAAAACACTACTTTTAAAGGTTTCCTACTTCATTAAACACTCATTAGTCTCCCTAGGAATTGTCTTGAAAGTGGTAGGCTACAATTAAAGATTTTAACATAAGCAGCAAAATTCACCCACATGTTGGTGTTTCTACATATTTCTACTTAGATACACAGACAGAGATCTAAAAGATACTGAACGTGTACTTTGGTACCTTACATTTCAAGGAAGCAGCCATTTTAAAACAATTTCAGGCTTTTGTTGATATGTAATCACAATTTCTTACTTATTAGTCACAGACTGACAGTTGTAACAATACTGTCCTTATCTGAAGTATAATATAAATGTGTGTGCATGTTGTTTATAGCCCATGTATAGAATTTGCATCTGTCTCAATTTAATAAAAAAATCATGGCAAAGTACAAAGAGAAATTTGATTCAAGGCCTAAATACAATGAAGGTGGAACATTTGCTTCCAGCGAAGATGGAGCTTGCAGCAGACTAATACCCGTGCTGAGAACAACTCAAAAGGTCTGTTGCCAAGCATCAGAGCTGCCCGGGTAAACTGGACTTCAGGGGCCCAGATCTTAGAGAAGAGAATTGTGGAGTGGCGAATCTATATCTGTAAGATGTCTTTCTTCTCACAGGAAGTTGGAAGTTTTTGTTATAGGACAACAAACCAAGATTCTGGACAGAAGGACACCTAAGAGTTAGAGAAGTCAGCAAAGTTTTTAGGAGTCTCATAGGGCTATAAAGACAAAAGGTGGAGTCTAGGATTGCCAAGTCCTGGAGGACCATGATCCATGAAACATATAGAGAAGTGAGCCTAAAACCCAGAGATTTGCCCCTCAAGGCATTTTCTGAATTCTTTTTTTCCAGCTCTTCTTTTTTTTTTTTAATTGGGTAACATTGGTTAGTAAAATTATATAGGTTCAAGTGTACATGAATTCTTAAGCAGCACAGGGCAAAAGGCTAAGAAGCTAAACAGAAGACCAGATTAGAGTTTTCTCCTGTCTCACAGTGCTAAGGAGAGGAAAATTAGAATTATATGATTCACCTTCAAAGGGGGACCCTAGTCAATACTCTGGACTCTCAATGACACCTCTGAAGAGCTATTCCCTAGGAAAGGGGGTGAACCACTGATAGACTGAGCTTTGTAAAAACTGAAAATAAGCTGTGAGGGAATCCTTGATTGGTTTATGATGATCTGTTCCTTATTCTAGCTACCCACCAGAGAGAATAGGATGGAATCCTCTCTAAAGAGAAATAATATCATCCAGACTTTAAGAAATGAGACTAAGGGGCAGCTGGTTGGCTCAGGTGGTTAGAGCGCAGGCTCTTAACACCAAGGTTGCCGGTTCAATTCACATGGGCCAGTGAGCTGCACCCTCCACAACTAGATTGAAAACAATGACTTGACTTCGAGCTGATGGGTCCTGGAAAAGACACACTGTTCCCCAATAAAATTTAAAAAAAAAAAAAAAGAGAGAGACTAAGAAAAAGACAAGTATAGATACTATCAATAGACTTATAGATGATCCAGTTACTAAATTTGTCAGACATGTATTTAAAATATTTTTAATTAATATATCCAAGTAATAGATTAAAAGATAGAAAATGGAAATATATATGTATGTAGATAGATAGATGGAGAGAGAGAGAATCAAATGAAAATTCTAAAAATAAAAAATGCAACTGAAATTATAAACTCAAAAGATGGGTTTAACAGCATTTTGGTCATAGGAGAAGAGAAGATTGGTGAACTGAGAGATAAGTCAGCAGAACTGTCCAAGCATGGCATGCAAAAAGGATGGGGAAATACAGAATTAACATGAAAGACATATGAGAAAGGATGAAAAGTTCTGAAATGTGTGTAATCACAGTCCAGGAAGAAAGGGATAATAGCCAGCACATCAGGAAGATAAAAATTATACCTTTAGAACAGCGATTCTCAACCTGTGGGTCATGTCCCCTTTGGGGGTTGAACGGGTCACCTAAGACAATCGGAAAACAAAAAGATATTTACATTACAATTCATAACAGTAGCAAAATTGCAGTTATAGAGTAGCAACGAAAATAATTTTATGGTTGGGGGTCACCACAACATGAGGAACTGTATTAAGGGGTCGCGGCATTAGGAAGGTTGAGAACCACTGCTTTAGAAGAATCTAATATAGCTTTAATAGCTGGCGGACAAAAATTCAATAAGGATGCAAGTGATACGAAAAACAAGTCCTAAAACTTCAGGGAAATAAAAAGTAATTCTTCTTAAAGAATTGGCTGAATATGTTTAAAGATGTTTGAAAACAATTATCTTCCATTTAGTATGATCCAGAGTTATCATCTCGACAATTTGGGGTTGAATTGTCCCGTTTGACCAGTGAAGACCGAACTGTTCCTTTAGTGGTGGAAAAGCTCATAAACTACATTGAAATGCATGGCCTGTACACAGAGGGTATCTACCGAAAGTCTGGTTCAACTAATAAAATCAAGGAGCTTCGACAAGGTCTAGATACAGGTAAAGTAGTGCCCTCCAAATCAAGACCAAATGCTTTTACTTAAACAGGTCATTTTGTGCTCTTAACAGTTCTCATTCCATGTTGATCCTTTCCTTGCAGCCAGAACCATGCAGTCTTTTCTGTAGTGCTCGTTTGTGTTTTTGTGACTTTCTAAAGAGACTTTGTTTTGCTGTGGTCAGTTCATCAAACATATATTGAGTGTGTCATTTGTATAGGCATTATTGCATACTTTAGATAGATGTCATTTAATCTTTTAAAAAATCTGATAAGAGCATGTTATCTGTCATTTGCAAAGAAAAAAATGTAGGCTTAGGGAAATTAAATCGCGAGCTGTTGGTGCTTGTGCAGGGCACTGTGCTGATGTTTTCATACTGATCTCCACAGTAACCCTATGAGTTAGGGATTAGAAGCCCTGTTTATAGATGAAGAAACTGAGGTTTACAGAGGGTCTTACCCAGAGACTCATCACCAAAACGTGACCAAGCTGGGATTTAACCCCAGGTCTTCTGAATGCCTGATTGGAACTATTGCCTGTCAGTCTCCATTATTCTGACCCAAGTGGCCTCTGTCCAGCGCACCTTCTTGCCTTCCTGCTTGATGATGTAATATTTAGACAGATAATTAGTGGGTTGCACATGTATCTGTGTAGAGCTCTAACCACAGTCCTGGAATGTATCCAGGGTTTTGACTTTGGTTTCACTCCCAGCTTCTACTCTTTACCACAGTTGGGAAGAAATATTGGGTTGTCAGAAAAGTCATGACATATTTTTTCTATGTTTTTTGTTGCAAAAATGCATCATGACTTTTCCGACAACTCAATAGATCTTTTTGAATCACACTTACGTACTAAGCTTGTCTTTGCATAGCCAAGAACCTACCCACGTGCTTTTCCTTTCTAGTTTTTGTTTGTTTGTTTGTTTGTTTTAGTTTCAGGTGTACAAAGCAATGTAATTTGTACAAAGCATTTACACCCCTCACAAAGTGATAACCCCCTCCCCCAATCTACTACCCCTCTGACATCATATATAGCTGTTACAGTTCCATTACCTCTATTCCCTATGCTGTACTCCACATCCCGTGACTATAGTAAGTTATAGTTGACATTCATTTTTATTCATATTCAGCTTCAGGTGTACACTGCAGTGGTCAGACACCTACATTGTCCATGAAGTGGTCTCCCTAATAAGACAAGTGTTTTTTTTTTTTAATGAAGAGATCAGTGAGGGCCGGACGAGTGGTGCGTTGGTTAAGAGCAGGCTTGGGACTCCAGAGAGCCCCAGTTCGGATCCCACATATGAGGGCCAGTGACACTGCCCTCTACAGCTAAGATGCTGAACAACAGCTCAACCCAGCGCTGGGCTGCCGTGAGTCACCGGCGACGGCGTGGGCTGCAGCCACTGCTGCAGTGGGTTGCCATGGGCTACCGTGTGTAGCCAGCAGCCAGCGTGAGCGGCCAGCAGCCGCCATGAGCCAGAAGCTGACGACTGATTTGCCTCGCCTGGGAAGAGCACAGTGATGGTGCCAACTTGGGCCAGTGAAGCAACGTCCTCCACAATTAGACTGAAGAACAAAAGGACAGCAACTTGTCTGTTCCCCTTCCCCCAATTCCCCAGCGCTGTTCATATCCCCCAAGTCCCCAATAAAAATCTTTAAAAAAAAAAAAGAGAGAGAGATGAGTGAAAAATGAATCAGTATGGAAATAATAGAGAATGCCTGATAAAACTCAAGCAGGAGGTTCTCAGTCTGCTCCAGTTTAAAGGCAATTGTTAACTTGTCGTACCTTGAGTCAGCACAGGTGAAAAATCATCCTGTATCCTTCCAAGCATCTCATCTGTATAACCTTAGGGAGTTTATAAGTAAAACAGTGAAGGTGTTTCCTTACATTTCCTAAGATCATTTATTACTGTGTTTTCATCTCTAAGAATGACTTAAAATTGGCCTTACTTTTAGAAAATGTCCTCTGGGCCTTTTTTCCATTTGTCATCTAAATCGTTGTTACTCAAAGTGTGGTTCACAGACTAATCCACAGCAAGATAAGTTCAGAAAGTGAGAGCAAGCATTTAGCACGTTATCAGTGATCTTGAACTTGAAAACATGTGCTCTTTTATTTTACACATCAATAAGTTCACGAAAGATTTGGAAAACCAACAAAAACTGTTCCTTTACCATAATTAGAAGCACTGTTCCAAAACATTGGGATTAGATTATATGAAGCCTTCTTTTGGTGGTGTTAGTTTCTATGGTGAATTATTTGAATCTCTGCATGTTTTGTCTTCGTTATCTAACTCTTGTCTATAATTAGATGCTGAGAATGTAAACCTGGATGACTATAACATACACGTCATTGCAAGTGTATTCAAACAATGGCTTCGTGATTTGCCCAATCCACTCATGACCTTTGAACTCTACGAGGAATTTCTTCGAGCTATGGGTAAGCACGGGCTTCCTGGGTCTGAGGGAAGGCCCACCCTTGGGAAAGGAATGCCATCTTCGTGATGAATTATTCAGCCATCTTCTCGTGAGTTAGTCCATATAGAGCCAAAAGCAAGCTTTTGACAGTCAATATAAAACTGCCACTGTATTCTCACCTATTCCAATGTTGACTGTTTAGAGATTCATTAAAATGACAGTGTCCTAAAAGTTTCCTGAGTAAGTCACTCAGTGGCTTCTCACAAACGGATTGGAAAACTAGAGTTACAAACACATTAAAAGATTAAATAGGAGATTTAAGGGCTGGCTTCTGTTCATTTAAATTGTGAATCTGGGGATGCACTCTGTAAAGCTGGCTGGCTATTCTATGCCAGGCCTAACAGAGTATGGAGTTTAGTTTTTCAGTGCTACAAATGGTGTAGATAGTGGATGAAGACCTGCCTGGAAGTGTTTGGGCCCTGAGGCATGACTTCTCAAAGTCCCATAAGGCTGATTTATAAACTAGATGGCAATTGATTGCTTTTAATGGGAATCAGTCTGCCACAAAATGCGTGAAAAACTAGGGCATCTTTTTCCCTGACTATAATCAGGAGTACTAGGGTACAGATTAAAACTCAGGAGACTGCTTAGTGAACATCGAACTCAAATAATGGGAGATCAGTAGTAACTGAGTTATCTGCCACAGCTCCAACGGCCTCCCCTAAAACTCGAGAACCCCAGACCTAGCCTCCCGGCTACCCAGTGTCTGTCCAGGAGGAAGCCGTAGCACATAGATGGGATATTCAGTCTCACTTGCTGCTCTCACTGTCTTTAGGTCTTCAGGAGAGGAAGGAGACAATCCGTGGTGTGTACTCTGTGATTGATCAGCTCTCCCGAACGCATCTCAATACACTGGAACGCCTCATCTTTCATCTGGTCAGGTAACTTCAAAAAGCAAGGGAATGAATGTTTTCAGTTTCTCCTGGATTCTTTTCAACACGTGAAGAGCTCCTCCCTTTGGAAAATTAATGGATCTTTTTTTTTCCTGTTTGTAAAGTCAGTGCCTCAAATGGGAGTTCTGATTCCTTTGAGCAGAAATCAACTGAGTCAGACCACATGGCAGGTGCTTGTTTGTCCTACTCGAGCCAAGTAACAACCCCAGGCTCATGATGGCTCTGTGTAGCCTAACCTGTTATCTAGGCCCTGAACTAGAAAGTTTGTATCTGTTGACATAACCTAATTCATGGGAGGTGGGTTCAGATGGTGCTCAGGAATTCACTAACCAAAGAGACTTGAGGAATAGTCTCTTCTCCCTGAGTGTAAATATCAGCAGCAGTTGGGAAGAAAGCAATCTTTCTTTTTGGATAAGTAAGACTATTTGAAAGTGCCTTGAAGTCTCTACTCTGCATTCTTCAAACATGTTCATCTGTTGGGTTGTTGGAAGAGTCATGCATTTTTGCAACGAAAAACAGAAAAAATACGTCCTGACTTTTCCAACAACCCAATAATTACAGGGGCTTAGAGCCATGGGTCACAGATTCCCCTTGATAAGCTATCTGCTATATTGCTTCAGGGAAGGCACAGAGTGAAAGTGTGTTTTCCAGAGGCCATGGAACAGCCCTGGGGAAAGCCTGCAGGGACCCCCTGCAACCTATATGAATGAATATGTCCGGTACTGTGCAGCTAATGCTGTCTTCTTTCTTTCTCTCCTCCCTTCCACCTACCCCTACCATTTTCCCTTTTAATCCTTGTTTCACTTGGGGTTTTTTTGTTCCTTAGGATTGCTCTGCAAGAAGACACTAATCGGATGTCGGCTAATGCTTTGGCCATTGTGTTTGCTCCCTGTATCCTCCGCTGCCCTGACACCACTGACCCACTACAAAGCGTGCAGGACATCAGTAAGACGACCACGTAAGGCCGGGCTCCCACCTCTGCAAGGCCCCGAGGACTTCTGGGGCAGTGCAGTTACTATCCAGATCCCAGCCATAGTGAAATCTTTCATAAGCGCAGGTTATAGAAGAAGATTGCTAGATACCTTGGGGTTTCTTAAGCTGAAGGTGAAAAACTTCCTTTAGATTCTATTCAGCTGAGCATCATTTGTTGTGAAGAATCTTGTTTTTAAAATTTAGCTCTTCTGTGCTTGCTTCGGCAGCACATATACTAAAATTTAGCTTTTCTTTAGGAATGCTTATGGTTTCTAAATATATTTTAAAATTCCATCCTGGAATTTTAAATATAATTACGTACACCTTGTATCTTCCTGTAATCTAGTCTAGCTGTGGTCTCATGGCTCTGAATCCCTTTGTTCTTAGTACTTCAATATTCCTGTATATCACCTTGACTTTTTTTCCTGGGCCTCTCCTTTCCTTCTAGAGTGGCGGTTCTTAACCTTGACTGCAGGGAGCTTTAAAAAAACACTGGTGTTTGTGTCCTATTCCCAGAAAGTCTGTGTGACTTAATCGTCCTGGGGTGTGGCCTGAGCACTGGGGCCTATGGCCTCCGGAGAAGGGCCGGAAGTGCAGCCAGAGTTGTGGCCGCATGCTAAACCCCGCCTCTGAGCTCGCACAGTAAGGGGTACTGATTGTTCTTTCATTTTCCATCTGCCACACTTCGCTGAAAACCAGTCTGTGGGTGCTACACTTTATTTGATTGACTTGAGCTCTCAACAGTTTTCTTGCTTTCCTTGTTTCAGCTGTGTGGAGCTGATTGTTGTGGAACAAATGAATAAATACAAAGCTCGTCTCAAAGACATCAGTAGCCTGGAATTTGCTGAGAATAAGGCCAAGACCAGACTGTCACTGATTCGCAGATCAATGGTAAGATGCATGGCCTGGAACCACAGGAGAACGGGAGACTTCCTGGGGTTGTATGTGTGCAGCTATGAGGAAAGAGACTATTCTCTGAATCTTTATCACATGGATCAAGTAAAAAAAAAAAAAAATCACCAAATCTCAGAGTACTAATGGATGCCTCATGTTTGATCTTTTAGCTCTTCTTTAGTTGTATATACAGAATATATATGCAGTTAAATGTGTAGAATTTTAAAAGTCTGGTATTTGGATAAAACGTTGGGGCTTAATAATCTGCCCTATTTTCTTTTCCTGTCCTTTCTATGAAAACTTACCCTATCCTAACTTTTTCCTCTATTTCCTTCCACTATGCTTAATTATGTCACTTTTAGTGATCCGGCCAATACTCCTGGGATTTAGAGAACTTAGTCAATTACGAGAATATGATTCATAAGGAAATAGAATTCTATGAGTCTACTATTATCAAATAAAGATTCTTGAAGGGTTTATTGCTAGGTTTTGGGAAAAACCTTGCAAAAGTGATCATTTATTTCCTCCTCTTGCTCACTTTTCTGTTTAATACCTTCTTTTGTAACCAGTGACCTATATAGAGATAATTCTAGTTCTCACTGGACCAATAGTCAGTAGGGTCTGGGTGACTGAAAAACTACTGCTGCATCGAAATTTAATTATTGCCTATTTGCTCCTCTTCCCCTCAATTGTAAAACAAAGGTGTAGTGATGAACACCCACTCGCACCCCCAGCAAATCTCTAAAGAGAAGCCGCTTCCCTATCTCATGCCTGTGCTTTCCCAGGGGCTCAGCAGCTCCTCCTCCACGTCTTCAGAGCTTGTCCTGAGATTAGTGGTAAAGGAACTCCGCTCTTCCTTTACTGTTTCAGCTGACCAGCACGGAACAATGGCTCAACAAATGCCTGTTGATTACATTAGAAAGGTTTGTTCTAAAAACAGAGACTTTTCCCAGGCAATAAAGGCATTAGATAAAGCGCATCATAATAAAGGACACTATCTAAATCTTTTCCCCAGAAAATGGAAGCCCCGTTTAAAGGTGAAGTCCTTGGTGTAGTATGGATTTTCAGGAGCTAAGTTCTGAGAGGCCCCACTTAGCAGCACCCATCCAGGGAAGCAAGGAGGGACCTTTCACTGCAAAGCTACTTTTTGAAGCAGGTGAACTAGCCGTGCTTTTTTTTTTTTTGCTGATGTGCAGAAGTTCATTGAACGATGAAACCTTCTCTTTTAATGGGGCAATGACATGTACATTCTAACCTCTGCTTTCCTTTTCATGTCCTTCCTAATCCAGAAACCTGTACTAATTGCAGTTAGATTTATGAGCATTACCCGCAGTTCAGTCTCGGTATGTATTAACATTGCGATGTGTCACGGCCACGTCACATCAGTGTGTCTCATCCATCGAGGAGTTGTCCTGCTCTGTCTCTCATCCATGCCTGTCCACCCTCCATGTTCAGCCATGGTCAGGTCCCACTTCCTGCCCAGCTTTCCCTTGTTTTTCTCTTACTCTCTTTCTTTATTAGCTTTGTTTCCTTTCCTCTGTGTCATGCAGTTGAACAATCTCCATTTACAACATACTGGTTTTTTCTCTTTGTCAGAAAAGCTTCTTTGTGGTTTCTTCTTAGGTTGGATCATTAAAAGGTGAACATCGAAAGCACTGAGTTATTAAATTAATTTCTGCTTTCTGAGCTTTGTTCTCTTCAATCTCCTCCACTTTATTTCTTGAAATACCTATCGCCACTTCCAACATCCTCCATTATTAGTAATGCTTATTTGTCCATTCATATCTGTGACTTTGATGGTGTCTTCTTAGATGTAGAAATATGGCTCCTGTCCACTTAGCATTTTTCAGACAGACCAGCAGTAATAGTAAGCAAATGTAAGGACTAGTTCCAGACTTAAATGTCACAATATAATAGAGTTCATACAAGAATTTCATAAATTATGTAAAGAAAGAATGGACAGTTAGAAAGCTTAAGAACACTGATATACATGAAAACTAATTTCACAGACTGCCCAACTATGTGTAACCAGTTCATGGAGGATCTCAGCTTGCTGGTGTAGAAGTCCAATCAGTTTTACTTTTTATCTAGTAACTGTATTCCAGTTCTACCATGCCAAACTCCCCTTTCCTACTGGATATCAACTACTTTAACAGCATCTTGTCACTATTCCATAATATTTAAATGCTATAGTCTCATTCTGGTATTTAAGACTTAGTTGTCTTCGTTCGTATATTAACTTAAGTCTCAGGCTTGATGTAGTACTCCTGTCACTTTCTCCCAGGACAAATGAGACTTTCATCTGGAGCTGAAAACTTTGGGGTGCTCTTCTTGTGCTTTTTCTTCCTCTGTTGTTGAAACTGGCAGAAATGATAGGGGAGGTAGAATTCTGCAAGCTATCCCAGTGAGAGGTGGCAGTCCTCTTTGTTGGTTTTTCCACACTATTCAAGCTCACTGTCAACAGGCTGAATGAAGATGACTGGTAGCTCCAGTTTACCTGCTGACAGTGAGCAAAGTCCTATCCCATTTCTGTCGACATTGTCAAAACCTTGCACAATTTGGTCACATCTTCTGGCTAAACCTGACTGATGGCATTCATACCTTGTGATGCTGATACTTACTATTTTTTTTTTTGGCAAGACTTTGTCCAGTCAGATCTACCTGCTATGGCCATTGGGGGAAAGGTTACATTTTTCATACCTGTTAGGAATCAAGAACTCAAGGTGGGGGTGATAGTCTTGCCTGCCTTCCTACCTGACACTTCCTCACCACACTTTCTCCTCATTTGTCATTTCCCCTGTGCAGATAACAGAGGGGCAAATCAGTAAGTCTTTTGCCTATACAGATAACCAAACAGAGAATAAAATACCAGCCTGCCTTTGGTTTAGATGACCTCAAACTTTGATTCTTACCCTCTGGATTTATATATGACAACTGCTTTTTTTCCCAGCAAAGGGGAGGGAATATCTTCATAAACTTTATGTGCCCCTCAAAGTTCAATAAAGCCCTCTTTCTTTTCAGACTTTTTAGATTCACGTTGAGGGAAGGAGTTACAATATTGATGATAGGGCTGGTTCAGCAAACCCTGAGAGTACCAACTACTTTGGCTCATTGAAGCTAGAAGAAGGGTGCTTAATTATCCTCAGCTTTGCGCTTTAGCCACAATTTTGGACCAAGAGGAAAAATCCCACTTAACATCCTATTGCATGTGCATTTAGCTGTAGAGAAGACTTTAGGCCCAGTCTTAAGAACAAGACTGTTAAGGACATAGTTGGCATTCAGTGAAAATCTATGGAATTGAATCTAGGAAAGATAGCAGTGAGTTTTTAGGACATCCACTACAGATAGAATGACATATCGAAGTCAATAATGTTCATGTATTCATAGATTTAAAAAATTGCTATTCCATAATTAAGTATCATGACTTCTCTGAAATGCGAAGTGAACTGCATTTATGAAAAGTATGTTTCATTATTGCCAATGTGAAAAGTCATTTGAGTTGGGTGTTGAAAGATGAGTAGTAATTTAACAAATGGAGAAAAGAAAGGGGAAAAACAATTCCAGAGGCAAGGAAGCATGGAACAGTGACCTATGAATACTACCTGATGTAGCTGGAGCCGGAAGTGTGTAAGTGGCAGTAGAATTGGGAAACTTAGATTAGAACCAGGTGTGCAGCATTAAGAATTATGAATGTTCTACTTTGAAGAATTTTAGACCCAAAGAAAGGTTTAATTTTTTTACTTTTTTTTAAGATTTTTTTTTTAATTGGGGAATTGGGGGAGGGGAACAGACAAGTTGCTGTCCTTTTGTTCTTCAGCCTAGTAGAGGATGTTGCTTCACTGGCCCAAGTTGGCACCATCATTGCGCTCTTCCCAGGAGAGGCAGATCAGTCGCTGGCTTCTGGACGGCCGCTCACGGCGGCTGCTGGCTCTCACGCTGGCTGCTGGCTACACACGGTAGCCCATGGCAACCCACTGCCACAGGGGCTGCAGCCTACACTGTCACCAGTGACTCACAGCAGCCCAGCTCCAGGTTGTGCTGTTGTTCAGCATCTTAGCTGTGGAGGGCAGTGTCACTGGCCCTCATATGTGGGATCCGAACCAGGCCCTCTGGCGTCCCAAGCTAGCTCTTAACCAACGCGCCGCTCGGCCGGCCCCAAAGAAAGGCTTTAAAGTAGAGGAATGTCACCATCAATGTAATGTGTTTTTTAGAAGATAAACTGGTAGCATTCTGAAGAAGAATGATTAGAGATGGGCAATACTGGCAGCTATATATTGGTTAGGAGGCTTGTAAATAATCATATTTGCCATCACTAAAATAGGTGGAATCCTGATCATTGCATTTTGAAATGATTTCAAAATACAGTTGACCCTTGAACAACACAGGTTTGAACTGTGCGGGGCCACTTATAGGTTGATTTTTTTCAATAAATATACAGTTAGCCCTCCATATCACCAGGCTGGGAATCTGCAAGTGAGGGCTGACTGCCTGCATTTTTCTAGCCATTTTACGTGAGGGACTTGAGCACTCATTGATTTGGGTATCTCAGTAACCCTGCAGATGCTGGGTGACAACTGTAGTAAAGTTTTTGGGGAGTGAGAAGTTCTATGTGGATATTTGCCTGCATGGGTGATTGGCGCCTCTACCTCCCGTGTACATACAGTGTTAGCTGTATCTGTTCCTGCCACCATGTTGAAAGTGGTAATCAGATTTATGGCACATAATTTTTGACTAGGCTATTCTTAGACTAGGATTTCATAATATGATATAATTACAATCCATCCAGTTATACCTTTTCTATAACAAATTTTTTTTGTTATTTATTTATGCTATCATTCTAAGCATAAATATTGATTTAGTACTATTTAAGCTAGTAAAATGTGAAGAATATAATTTGAAATAAAGTTTACTAATCTGTAAAACCTTCACAAATTGTCCTTTTAAAAGATGTTATGCACAAAGGTTTCCTTGACCAACAAATTTGGATATAATGTGTA